AGCCCCGAGGCCCCAGGCCCACCCACCCCCGCGCCCCTGCTGCTGGAGCTGGGTGTCCCTGCAGGTCAGCCTTCGGCCAAGAGTCCCAGACGCGAGGAAGGGAGGCGCGGTGAGTGGCCCAGTGCAGGCCTCCTGCCTGGTGATGGAGAGGGGAGGAAGGGCTGGTGGGGGCATGCAGGGCAGTAGGGCCAGGCCCACTTCTCCGCTGGCACCCATACCTGGGCGCTGGTCCCCACACCTGGGTGCTGGACCCCACACCTGGGCGCTGGTCCCCACCCCTGGGCGCTGGTCCCCACACCTGGGCGCTGGTCCCCACACCTGGGCGCTGGGCACGCTTGAAAGGAACTGAATTCTAAGTTCAGCCACCAGTGGTCAGGAGTGGAGTGGGGCCCGCCAGGCTAGCTGAGAAATAATAGAAGGAATAATGACAACAGGGATGGCAGACACCTGCTAGTTGCCTGCTTGTGCGGGCACTGCTTCTAGTGCTTTCCAGAGATTGCTGCAGTTATTGTAGGAACCCTGTGAACTAGCTACTCTTGTTAGACCCATTTTTAAATGAGGAAATTGAAGGCACAGGGAGAGCCAGGGACTTGCGGTTCCCACTACCAAGCGGTAGAGCTGGGATCCAAGCCCAGGCCTGTCTGCTCCAGAGGCCTGGCTCCTACCCACCACATTATAAACAGATGCTCCGGGAGCACAAGGGGCCATGAAGTGAGGAGTCAAGTAGCTCGCTGTGTAGATGGGAAAACAGGCCCAGAGCAGGGCATGCCTCCTGGGACACCCAAGAGTAGGTGCTGCCTGACCCTGTGCTCTTCTCCCGCTCGTCACAGGAAGCACTGTTTCACCCCCACCAGGGATATCCCGCTCTGCTCCTGGCACCCCGGGCACCCCACGCTCACCGCCCCTGGGCCTCATCAGCCGACCTCGGCCCTCACCCCTTCGCAGCCGCATTGACCCGTGGAGCTTCGTGTCAGCTGGACCACGGCCTTCGCCCCTGCCCTCGCCACAGCCTGCGCCCCGCCGGGCGCCCTGGACCTTGTTCCCAGACTCAGACCCCTTCTGGGACTCTCCACCTGCCAACCCCTTCCGGGGGGGGCCTCAGGACTGCAGGGCGCAGACCAAAGACATGGGAGCCCAGGCCCCGTGGATGCCGGAGGCAGGGCCATGAGTGGACCAGCTGCTCCCCACGCTCCAGCTGCCCCAGAGGAGCCACAGCCTACACTGGAACAGGAGCCGGGCCAGCCTCTGACGCTGCCTTGGCTTCCCCCAGGGACCCCGCCCCCTTTGGGGGTCAGGAACACTACACTGCACAGGAAGCCTTCACACTGGATGGGGGGCCTGCACCCCCCGCATACCTGCAACCTGTGGGTCCCCTGACTTACCTGCCCCACTGGGGCCTGACACTGTACCCAGCTGGTTAGGAGGACCATAGCCTGTCTCAGGGAATCGCCCCCAGGGGTAGCGCAGGGAGGAGGGGAGGTGCCAGGGAGAGGGGCCGGCCTCAGCTGTCACCAGCACTTTTGACCAAGTCCTGCTACTGCGGCCCCTGCCCCAGGGCTTAGTGCCTGAACCCCCCTGCCCTGGGGGTCATCTAGGGCCAGGGTTCTCTAGGTGCCTTCCTGCTGCCCCGGCCAGGGTTGGGGCCTCGGCCTCAGGATCCAATGAAGCCAAATAAACTCCCCAAGCTATCTCCCCAAGCACAGCCTGTCACCTTTCTTGGAAGTAACCAGGGATCCAACCCATCACACGATGCTGGTGACTTCCTGCCCCCAGCAAACGGTCCGTCGGCCTGGGCCTGGGCTGGTGCCTTGCACCACACCCCTCTCCTGGGATCAACTCCACCAGCTTCAGTCAGGCATTCAAGGCCCTTGTCAGCCACCCTGGCACCCACACAAACTGGCCTCACCCACCTCCTCACCCTTGCCAGGCTTTTCCCACCACTGCCGGTGACTTCACCTGTCTAGTCCTGCTGCCGGAAGGGCCCCGCTTAGCCTCTGGGGCCAGTTTGTGTTACCTCCCCTGGGACTCTTGGCCATGCTGCTCCCAACCGGGCAGCTCGCTGAACTCAGGAACACACAGCCCTCTGGGCAGCGTTTTGGAGGTTTGCCCTGACTCTATCGCAGGGTCTGGACACAGTGACCTACCCTGGCACCTGGCTCCACTCGCTTTCCTCACTACCATGGGGTTCTGAGGTTTCTGCGAGTCCCAGTCTGGGCTCCCCTCCCCTTCATGGTCCATGCAGCCAGGCTCACTGTCTGCAGTGTTCTGGGGTGGTGGGTCGCTTCCAGGAAGGACTTGGAATGGAGACCTGACAGCACCATCTGTCCCAAGCTCTCTGTGTCCTCAACGCCTTGCCACCCTTGTCCCCAGCAGACCCATCCAACCCCCTATTCCTCTCCCACTCAGCTGCCCAGCCACCACCTTCCGTCCAGGGTGCATACAGTAATACCCCACAGGTCTCCTGGGCCACACTCGTCCTCAAGGCCCGGTGTCCTCACCCTCTCAGCCCGTTCCTCTCACACCCCAGCTCTTTCCCACCCTGACTAGCCTCTTCTATCCCCAGCTGAACTGTCACTCCTACAGGAACCTTCCCAGTGAGAGCCCCTGCCCCAGAGCTCTCACCCATGGCCCAGGTTCCTTCAGGGGGCGTATGACAATGTGAACCTCACGCCTCCTTGACAACAGGTTTCCTGTGTGAACACCAGAAAGGAAGGGACGTGTGTCTGTCCTCTCCCGCTGTGTCCTTGGGATCCAAGCCGCCGCTGAGGGGATGGGGCGTGTGTGACTGTCCTGTCCCCGAGTAACCGCTGCAGTGTGATTCTGAGCCATTTACTCTCTGGGCCTCGCCTTCCTCCACCTGGTCCTCGCCACCCCAGCTTTGGGGAATTGGGCAAATAGTGGCCTAGAAACTGGGAGGAGCGATCCAGCTCATCTCCAAGCCTGAGCTGCCTCCTCTCCCTCCATTCACACTCGCCCAGCTGCGTCCCAGGCTTCCCTCACTCTCAGCCACCCACGCGGCACCTCCTCCCGGCCCCACCTGCCAACCCTCCCAGTTGCCTGAGGTGGAGCAGCCAGCTTTCAGGACACCCCAGACTCCCAGGCGCACACCATGGGGGGGCTGAGGCCCTGGGCTCGATACGGGCTACTGATCGTGGCTCACCTGCTGGCTCTGGGCCTTGGGGCTGCGGTGCTCCAGGCCCTGGAGGGGCCCCCAGCACGCCAGCTCCAGGCCCAGCTCAGGGCCGAGCTGGCCACTTTCCAGGCGGAGTACGGGGCATGCTTGCCAACCGGGGCACTGGAGGAGCTGCTGGGCACCGCCCTGGCAGCCCAGGCCCATGGGATCTCCAGCCTGGGCAATGTCTCAAAGGCTGGGAACTGGGATCTGCCCTCAGCCCTGCTCTTCACTGCCAGCATCCTCACCACCACGGGTAAGGCTGCCAGGTGGCTGGGCAGAGGGGGCCTCCTAATTCCAGTGCCCCCTGGGGTCCCTGGGGGTACAACCCTTCCCCCAGCTCCAAAGTGCCAGACAGAGCCCAGGCTCTATGAGGCCTGACATCACAGCTGGGTCTCTCCACCCCAACACACCCCAACTGGTGCCTCAACTTCAGCTGCCAGGAGGGGTGTGGCCTCCCCAGCCCCACCCCAAGGCACCCTTTGAGACCCAGGAGAGGTGCCCAGACCCCATGGGCCCGCAGCAAGGCAGGGAACACATTATGGGATGGATGATTGGGTGGGGGAATGGAGTGAGCAGATGAGCAGCGCTGGCTCAGGAGGGAACGTGAGGGAAGGCTCCCAGGTGAGAAGTCTTGATGAGATGTTAGCCAGGGCACAGAGATGAGGGGTGAAGGAATTCCTGGCAGAGGGAACAGCATGTGTGAAAGGCCAAAGAAATAAAAGCAATGGGACACACAGCCCTGGTTTTTTTGGTTGGTTTTTTTTTTTTTTTTTTTGTCAGCAAAGTCTCTAAATATTTTTTTAAATTAATCTGTTTTCCAACTTCTGTTGGAAAAATCAGAAAAACTATTTGCATTGAGCCAGGATTCCTGCAAGGCAACGTTTGGCAGGAGTGGAACAGGGCCTGGCCTTTGGGGCAGAGCACAGGCTCTCAGTGCACCCCAGTCCCCACCACTCCCTTTTGTCTCCTGGTCCCCACCACTGCCTGGCTCCTCAAGGCGTTGGAGTTTACAAGCTCCGGACTAGCTGGGCCTGTTCTCCCGCTCTCTCACCTCTCCCTGCTTTCCAGAAGCTGAAGCTGTCCTGGCACTGAAGGCCCTTTCTCACGCGTGCTGCCTCCTCGGCAGCTCTTCCTGCGGTGCCCTGACAGGTTTCCTGCCTGTCTCCCCCACCGCATGGCAGGGCCTGAGCAGACTCAGATTCCGGCGCCAGGCCCAGCACACAGGAGAACTCAAAACACCTTTGGGGGATGAAAGGGTGGGTGATGCCCTGCCCAGTGGGTGCAGAAGTATCTGTCAAAGGCAGAGCTGAGGATCTTAGAAAGCCAGGCTCCCTCTGGGGCAGGACAGCAATTCTCAGAATTGTCCCAGCCCCAAGAGGACTGAGGGCAGACTGTCTCTTTTAATTTTTCATTTTTCCAGAAAATAAAAGAGTCGTCCAGAGAGGTTAAGGGACTTGCCCAAGGCTCTCCAGTTGATGAGGAGCAGAGCCAGAGCATGGGCCCGAACGGTTCCAGCAGTTTCAGCCACTAGAGGGCAGCCTTCCACAGGCTTGCTGGGGGAAGTGGGGACCCTAGCAGGCATTGCACACAAGGGCTCACTGCCCACTGTCTCTCTCCTGTTCAGGTTACGGCCACATGGCCCCGCTCTCAGCAGGTGGAAAGGCCTTCTGCGTGGTCTACGCGGCCCTGGGGCTGCCAGCTTCCCTAGCACTTGTGGCCACACTGCGCCACTGCCTGCTGCCTCTGCTCAGCTGCCCGGTTGCCTGGGTGGCTGTCCGCTGGCAGCTGACCCCGGCCAGGGCCGCGTTGCTGCAGGCACTTGGGCTGGGCCTGCTCGTGGCTGGTATCTTCGTGCTGCTGCCAGCGCTGTTGCTGTGGGGTCTGCAGGGCGACGACAGCCTGCTGGAGGCCATCTACTTCTGCTTCGGCTCTCTCAGCACCATCGGCCTGGGGGACCTGCTGCCTGGTCGTGGCCGTGACCTGAATCCAGTGCTTTACCACCTTGGCCAGATCGCACTTCTCGGTGAGTTCAGCTGCCCACGAGCACCGGTGGGAGGAGAGGAGCCTGGACTACAACTCCCATACACCACTGGGGGAGGCTGAGCCTCACAGGTGTAGGGGATTTTAGTTGGAAGAACTCGGCCGAGAATTGTGAGTGGCATCAGGTACCAGGGTGGGTCCCCAGGCGAGGGGGTGGGCAGAGAGCATCATCGGCTTCCCCAAAAGCTGCCCTAGAACCTTTTCTCCCCAGGTTACTTGCTCCTGGGGCTCCTGGCCGTGCTGCTGGCAGTGGAGACGTTTTCGGAGCTGCCACAGGTCCGTGCCTTGGTGAAGTTCTTTGGGTCCAGTGGCCCTTTGACTGCTGAGGACCAAGGTGGCATCCTGGGTCAGGATGAACTGGCCCTCAGCACCCTGCCCCCCTCAACTGCAGCCCCAGAACAGGCCCCCGCCTGCTGACAGGTGTTCGGTGATGGAGTTAACTCCTTTCAGGTGAAGAAGCCCGAGGGGAATTCTCTAGAGATGAAGGGCCCAGGAGCTGGAAGCTGGGAGTGTGGATGTGAGAACCTCAGAGAATAAAATGTTAACAAAAAATAAAATGGTTGCCCTAGCTGGTTTGGCTCGGTGGATAGAGCGTCAGCCTTCGGACTGAAGGGTCCCAGGTTCAATTCCAGCCAAGGGCACATGCCCGGGTGGTGGGCCCGATCCCCAATGGGGCGTGCAGGAGGCAGCCGATTCTTTCTCATCATTGATGTTTCTATCTCTCTCTCCCTCTCCTTCCTCTCTGAAATCAATAAAAATATTTTAGAAAAAGAGTGAGACTTAAAAAACAAAACAAAATAAAATGGTCAACAACCCCAACTCTGTTTTTGTCTCTTCTTTGGAAATGGTTGTTCCCTACAGTGAACCCAAAGCCCCATCAACCTTGGGAGGTCCCGCTCCATTGGCATTTGGGAACCTCAGAGCCCGCACAGCCCCGTCGAGGATCGCAGACAACCTTATCGGCCTAAGCACCAACCCCTTCCGTCCATTGAAACCCCAGCTGCCCCGAGAAAGAGTCGGTGCTGTGTGGCCTTGTCCAACTTTATTGCTCACAGGGAACAGGAAGCAGAGGGGGGCGGGCGCGGCAGTTCACAGCCACCCTGCTCCCCTGGGGCTGGCCACCCGGGCCCTGCCGTC